ATACGTGTGCCTAACAAGGAGGTAGTGTGGGTTACGCTAGGGCGGAAGTTTCATTCGGCATCGCTTACCTTTGAAGGGAAGTGTTGGCTCTAATCATAAATTTTTGCATGCTGCCTTCCTTCAATACCACTGAGGTGAATGGTCCCAGGGCTGCACTGATCTGGTGTTTTATCAATAGCCATGATTTTGATGTGGCTAAGGTTATTCACGACGAGATGTTCATTCGCTGTCATGTGCAAAGATATGTGTTCTTCTTTCCATCCTTAATCACTCGGTTATGGCGTGAGGCACGTTTACTGGAATACAGGGACTTGGATGGGAAAGTAAAAAAGGAACAGAAGTTCCAAGCTGATAAAGTGGTAATTGGGAAGGACCTTGTTGGACCTGTTGAGGAAAATAGCGATGAGTCTGATGCACCAGCAGAGGGCAATGAAGTGCAAGCTGAGGCTGTTGCTGCTTCACCCCCGCACAAGCAAGTTGTTGAGGGAACCTCAGTTGTCAGATGGGACACAAGAATGAGGGCCTTAGAGCAGGAAATGGCGGGGATGCGTACTTCTGTGACAGACTTGGGAGCTCGACTGGATGCCCTTGCTACTCAAAATGCCAAGTCTGAGAGAAAGGTCATGGCATGGCCACGTGCGCTTGGCAGGGCTTGCCATCTAAACCCCGGCATGGTCTCCGACACGGACTGACTCTATCAAGGAAGTTTCCTTTGCCTTACATTTTCTTTGTGTGACATGAGGACATGCCACCACTTAAAGTGTGGGGTGGGGGATATGTTGTATTTATGTTGTATATATGTAGTTATGTAGTAATGTATATTAGTTTTAGCTCTTGGGTTAGTTTGAGTAGTAGAGATAAAAAAAACCTGAAAACTTAAAAAATTTTACTTTTCCCGACGATGGATATCATTCGACGGGTTTCTTGAGGGATTTAAGTCGAAAGAAAAAGACAAAAAGATTTTCTTTTGTAGGTAGTGTATTAAATCCCCCTTGGTTTTTCTTTGTGTCGCGGTTCTTTTCCAAGAGTTTTTGTTTGAACCGGGTACAGTTGGTTTTTATTTTGTTAGGTATAGGAACCCTTGTGCTATGGGCTGAAATGAAAACCAGGTCTCTTGACTTCGTTATGCCCTTGAGAATAGTGATAGCTTAAGTGTGACGCTTAGGCTAAGTTTTTTACTCTTGTATAAGTGCCTTAAATTGTATGTTCTAAATTTTGCTTAACTGCTTTGACTAGAGTATCTTGATGATCCAATGTTGAGTGAGACATGTGCCATGTGCGTGTGAGATTGTATTTTGTGCATTGCATTTGATGTCTAGAACTTGGCCCGTGTGTTTGCGAAGTAAAATAGTAGTTGTGTTCATTCTAGGAAGTGACATAGGTATTTCTTTGTTGAGCCAGTGATATGCTTTTACCACCTAATTGTTATGTATCTTAGTTAACCCCTTTGAGCTTGTAATCCTATTTTGTTGGCAACCACATTACAAGCCTTACCCTTTTTATTTGAATTGACCATCTATTTGAAACATTTACCTCCCATGAGCACTTAAAATTGTTATGAACTTCGTAAAAGTTAAAGTGTGGGGTGGTTGGTTTGTCTTTTAAGTGAAACTAGTGAAATAAGAAGAAGGGTGCAATATTTTAAAAAAAGTAAGAGTCACCTGTACTGGAAAAAAAGTGTGTGTTGTATCATTGTGAAAATAATTGTGACTCTTGATGAAAAGGTGCTTAAATAATTGGGAGTTAATGTATATTGATATGAAGGTGGAGTTATGGTTTGACATAAGTGTGGGGTCTCAACTGCTAAAGTGTATGTATTAAAGTGCTTAGGGAGGTGTAGTCACTCTTATATCTATATGTATCCTACCCATCCCGCAGCCTACATTACAACCAGTTAAATGTCATACTTGATCCTTGACTGAATGAACTCAATTAGTAGAGTAATACACAACGAGCAAGCCTATGGTGCATATTTTGTGGCACGTGAATGTCGTTTCCGAGAGTGAGTGAATTCTGTCTATCTTGAGTTCCTAATTGTTCTTGAATTTGATTGATTGTGGAACTATTCTCTTTTGTTGTGGGAGGGTACTTGATTCATTAAGGAAAGGTAATTCCTGACCTCTGTGTTAGAGTAAGTTATGAATAATGCATGGTGCTTGTGAGTCAATTCTTGAGGTGAAGATGTTACACTACTTTGCTTAGTCTATTTTAAATATTCTTGGTGTGATGAGTTAGGAAACTCGCTTAGTGAGGTTGCGTCTATGTAAAGTATGGTTTGATTTCTCGAGGACGAGCAACGATTTAAGTGCGGGGTGTTGATGGTAGGCTATAACTATGTATTTTGGCCACTATTTGCACTCTAAATTGTTGCACTTTACTGATGTTTGAGCGTTAAAGGGTAGTAAATTGCTCTAACTGAGTACTTTATGCTTTACAGGAGCAATTCTGGGCTACAATGAAGTTAGGGAGCGTTTTTGAGCTAATATGAAGTGTTGAAGGCCAAGTAAAAGCTTATGGAATAAATTGGGAATTCGTTCGAGGATCAAAGGAGGTTAGCGCACTTAAAATGAAGAACGAAGAAGAGTGCAGAAAATTGCCCAGGTGTGGCCGCGCACTGGGCCGCGCAAGTCAAGCAGAAACTGGCCAAAGTGCGCGGCTAGATGCGCGGTCACCTGCCCAGGTGCGCGGCCGCGCACGTCCTTCTGAGAAAAAATATTCCAGGGCTAAAATTGTAATTCCGGAGGCGACTTCCCTTGAACTATATGAAGCCCAGCTCGTCCAAAAAGAGGGTATTTTAGTTTTTAGAAGAACTTTGAAGGCAAGAACAGGCAAGGAGCAAGACGAAAGATTCGGAAACGAGTTTTATCTTTCCTCATCCCTTTTTTCTATTATTGGTGATGAATTCTTATATTGTGGTTGTGAAAACAATTATGAGTAGCTAAACTCCTTATTCTAGGGTTTGATGGAACCTCTTGGAGGATGAACTTTTGTTGCGTTTAATATAAATTTGCCATTGGATTTTCTCTACTTGTTCAACTACGTGATTATTGGGGTTGATTGAAGTGCCCTCAATCGACTATGCCTATTTAGTGTGTATTACTTGAAAAAGGGTACATATTTGGGTAGTTGTTGAACAACATCACTCCTTACGTATATGAGGGATCAATACGGAGGGTTTAAAGGTGGGATTAGGAATAACAAAACCTTGGTGCGATCTTAGTGAGCGGTAAACTAGTGCTAGCTAGCGTAGTTCGGAAGAATACGTTTAGTAAATTGTTGTATTTGCTTGGAAGAGAATTACGACACCTAAAGTGCTCATGACCGGTAGAGAGTATCTAGGCGAATTTATAGGAGACGTAGCAGAGAGGATTCTGATAAGAGAGGAAATCATAACCCTAGACTTTTTCAATCTTGTCTAAAATATTTGCTTTGTTAGTGATAAAATTACAGCTTTTTAATTAGCTTGTTGTTAGTTAGTAAGCGCTCAACTCATTATTCAATATTTTTGGAAGTTGATTACTTGAATTTTTGTGAAACTAGCAGTTGTGATTAATACGTTAATTCCCTGTGGGATTTGATTCCAGACTTGTAAACCGGATTATGTTTGCAACGATCGCTTAGTCCTTTTTATAAGGCATAGTTGGGCGTGATCAATCACCTTTTGGTGGGTGTTATGATATTGGAATTGCCTGGCAATGAGGTTGATTTAGCAACCTCTTGGTGAGTTAAACCGACAATAATTATGTCGATGAATTGTGATTGCCAATGTGCAATAGCCATTGTAAGAAAATAAATTTTCCAATGGGAAGAGCAGATACATTCTCTAGAGAAATAATGTGATATAGCAATTGCTTAGAGATGAGAATTTTTTATACATATTATGTGAAAAGAGGATTTGGCCGATCCTTTGACTTATAAGTGAAACATCGAGGGGTTGAGACTTTTGCCAATTTGAGATGTATCAACAATGATGGTAACCCAACCTATGTGATTGGAGATCCCATGAAGTAGGTTCATATGGGTAATAACAAGTCATTAGTTGATCAAATATGCACTATTAAATTATGTCTCTTCCTATGGTGTGTGTATATAGTGCAAGACTGCAAGGAATGTGAGGCTGAGTTATTAAACTCTTAATCCAATAATTCATAGCCTCTTATAGGTGGTGTATTGCGCTGCAGAATACACTTGATGGATGGACTTATATGAGTGTGGAGCGGGGCCGCTCCTATGAAATTTGTGGCGAGATTTCTAGAGCACTCATGAAAACCAGGCGCACGCATGGCCTATTAGCGCAAAACCGCGATAACACTAGAAATTGCGGGGGTGTAATATGATGAATAAGATCCCTAGCTTACAACAAGAATTTTTTGGTTCATAGAAGTTGTAAACTTAACCAACTATTTTGTAAGTTAAATCTTGTTTTATCTATATCTGGTTCATAGTCTATAAGACACCAGATGAATTTCATTATACACGAAACCCAGCAAATTATCTCTCCTTCTTTCTTTATTTATTATTTATCTTTTATATCCCTTTTGACGTATGTGGGGAATTGTTGAAAAATTAGTAATATCTCAAAAGGTAATATTCATCTTGGTTTGGAAAAACTTTTCTCTTTGAAATATTATTTAAATATACTTTTTATTTAGTAAGTTATTTTACAATTAATAGAGTCAAACTAGCCGTTATCTAGCAGTTGGAGAAACACCTACATAAATCTTTGAAGAGCTAAAGACACACTTTCTAACATAACTTTCTGAATCATCTTCTTCCTTCTATATGCTGGGTTTCTTTCTTGAGTTTTCTGCTAGTTCTGTTCCCAGTTTTATAACTGGAAGAGCTTGTTGAATCCTGAGGGATACGCCTAATTTTATTCATTATTGTGTGGGCGAAATATCCTTAAGGACAGTGTACTTGACACGCCTCAAGTTAACTCCTATTCTCCGTAACAATTTTTCCAACAATAGGAACATTTATTAAGGAAAATTAGGCTCGGATGGAGAGAATAAAATACTGATATTTATTGCATATTTGCTATATCATTTTCACATGCGTGCAACTGCATTAGGCTTAGCTAAAACTTAAGAAACGTAGTTTTATTTGGACTTATTACAAAAGCAGATTGACATTAGAAGTTGTTTAGGTTCTTCATTTATGGGCGATTGGCTTCTTTTTGCATGTAGGCCAGAGCTTCTTGAGCAGTAGAGCAACACCTGCAGCCTCCTCCTCTCCCATATCCGCCGCAGCACCCGTTTCTGCATCCTCCGCCATGGCCACCACCGCCATGGCCACCGCCTCCATGACCACCACCACCATAACCGCCATGGCCACCACTGCCACCTCCATGACCACCGCCTCCATAGCCGCCACCTCCATGACCACCACCACCATAACCGCCACCTCCATAGCCGCCACGACCTCCGCCTTCATAGCCGCCTTGGCCTTGTTTTGCAGCATCTAATTGAACAGTTGTCTGGCCTTCATTTGTTGCTACATACATACAACAACTCACTGCATGGAACTAATATTGCTACGTAATTTACTTAGTACCCCCCATTTTATTCTATATGGTTAAGCTAAAAAAAGAATAAAGTTTGACATGCATCAAAAATATACTTAGTAGTGGTTTCAAATATGTTATGACATTTTTATAACTATAAGAGCATGCCAAAGAGTTTTCAAAAATAAAAAGATATTATACCTTTTAAAACAGGTCAAAAGGAAAGAACGTCACATAAAGTGAGAATTTATGGGAAACAAAGAAAGAGGAAGTCATATAAAGTACTCCCATCTTTTATTTCTTTTCATTCCGTGAAAGATTAGTTCACAATATAACATCAAGACGGATGAAAAAGAACTAATTTATAAACTAAACTATATTTAAGCCAGCCAAGAAATCAATAGTGTATATGTTTAAGCAAAAATAGAAATATTACTATCTAAATCTGACCTAATCTTTAGAAGTAGTGTACACATCATACCTTTTTTCTCATGTTGAGATTTCTCATCAACTGCTAGAGTTGAAGCAAGAAAAAGGGATGCACATAAAAGTGCTAGCAGAAGTAGAGAACTACTGAGCTTCATATCTTGTAACTTTCTTCAGTATCCAAAACCAAAGACTTCAATTTTGAGAGTAGAATGAAACTTTCTTTCAACTAAGCCTTAATTTATACTGAGAAAATCCCACTACAAGATGTAAACTCTGACTTAAGAAAAAAATTTGCTACTACAAGCTGTGAAAGAAGCAAAGCAAGCATAACTAAGCTACGTGGAAGATGTGAAGGCTTTACATCTGGAAATTGAGGTAATGCTGCTTACAAGGAAACATTTGTCATTATCTTAATATAGTCAATCTTGGTGTCTTGGGTTGTTTTGTTAATCATTGTCTCTCATTTTCAACATACTGAGATAAGCAGAGAAGTGGTGAAGTCAAAAATTCTGACAAATTGATTTTAAACTCCTATGAAACAGCCTTTCTATCTTCGGCAAGGGTAAGGTTTCTTTACATTCTATCTTCTCGGATCCCACTTATAAAATTGTACTGGATTTTTTGTTGTTGTATGTTTCAGCAATGGATAAAAAGATTGACCAAGCTGAACTATGTATATATCCTATTCATGTAATGAACGTTGTTGCCTTCTCCAATACATCACACCAAATAGATACACTTATAATATACTAGTAACAACAATAATATACCCAGTGTAGTTTTTAAGTGAAGTCTGGGGAGGGTAGAGTGTACGCAGACTTTATCTCTGCCTTTAAGAAGGCAGAGAGGCTGTTTCTCTAGGCTCAGGAAGGAAAAAGGGGAGGAGCAATAACAAGCAAACCGATCTGACAACCGAAACAAAAATACAAAAGTAACAATAAATAATGCAATCAGAAAATTAAAACAAAGAAAACAACAATTAGCAACAGAAATACACGAAAGACACTAAGTGGTGTATCTTACAAACCAATGCTGCATGATAATATCCTTTTCTAATTTTTTTTTTTTTTGGGCCATGTTTTTCCATCAGCCTATGCATGTAAGTATCCTCAAACGTATCCTCGGTTTGCTGGACGTATATGGATGTATCTACGTGTCCTAAAAAGTATGCTGCCTGTGCTTCCAGCAAATGAGTTAGTATTTGTTTGGTCTTGTAGGCAGTAGCAGAACCACATGAAATACAGGGATTCAATTGAATACTCTTCGTCGGAAAGTTATACTATGCAAATAGGGTACAAACAAATTATTTTGCACATATATAAATATTTTAATCCCTTTGTCAAAATTCCTGACTCTGCCACTGGTTGAAGGACGTCCAACAAGAATACTCAAGAGTATCCTAGAGGATAATCAAGAGGTAGTATCACTAGACCACATATATAGAGCTAGGAATGAGGGTTCTTATCGGAGTCACACATTGTGGGATGAGTTCGTTTGACTCCTTAAATGGCCCTGGGCGATCCTCATCTTATGAACTAGAATTTTGGGTTGAACTAGGACCAATATCCATCAACGGATCTATTAGAAATCAAATCCATCAGCTCTATCCTCCGATTTTCATTTCATCAATAGGGCACCAGAACTCAATTCTACCTTCAGTGACATACAAAACTAAGGGCATACAACAGCTGACAAAATTTGGATACATTTTCAACTATGAGATTCAGCATTCAGAAAATGCTGCACAAAATAAACGGATCTAGTGATTGATTCTATATGGTGCCATTTGATCAATCCATAATACTTTTTATAGTACTAGCAACAAGATTTATATCACACAGTCATTATGTTCACTTAAAATTGGAGTTATGTCATATGTGAGAAACAAAATCGAAGTCACAGAGCGAGTACCACAAATGAACAAGAAACTGATTGCATTTTGTTTGCACTGTTATAGCCTATGATGAAACAGTAGAGAGTATTATCACCGAACAATGACCTAGCAGTAACTTCCTCAGCGTCATGAGACAATATCAAAGGCAGAATCAAACAAGGATCTCGACAATCAGTTATCAGAATTCAAATTTTAGCAGAAAATACCAACAACGATATACTACCTTGCAATCTTACCTTGAATTTTCACCGAATGCAAGCATTACTCCAGCTCCAATTTGCAGACGAAAAGGAAAACACGTTGATCGTATCCTCGGAACAAAGAGATCAAATACAATACATTCCATCAAACATATGAGAATACAGGCTTTGGTACCATATAACTTTCTTCACTCTACTCAGTAATTATCACAAAATATGAACTATAAATGAATTACCTGGTCCCACAATTTTTGTCTTTTTGAATACCATAAGAATAGCTATACTGCAGGGTTTGTATAGCTTATGAACCATACGTCCGAAAATGCGGATTGACATGCAAATAACATCGAACATCACAAAGAATAAATGATACATAACTCAAATGCAACTGGATACTCTCAGCTCGAGCACATGAAGAGACTAATCAATTCTAGAAACATAAGCCGGTGCCAATCACATCGCTGTAAATTGTAATTTAAGGCTCTTCACTGCATTAAATTTTACTTATCTACCTACAGCTAAACATGTCCAGTTCAGAAGAAAAATTCAGGATACTGCACATTTTTTTCTTAGATTTTGTATCTCAGGTTAAGATTTCAATTATGATAATCACAGAGGTTATTAAATGATATCTTGTGGCATTACCATTATTAGTTGCTAGCCGATAACAGATGTCAACACAAAATCATATTTAAAACTGAGTTCTGTCATAGACTAAGATCGTAAACTGTATAGACATCCATTTCTTATTCATAAGAACTGAAAACAGAAGTATCAGTAGATGTACAAGTATAAATTTCTGGAATTTGTATAAACATGAAAGCAAATGCGGACAATCCACCTCTCAGCTTTCAAGGTCCTTCCTATAGTGACTCCCAATCACAAAGAACGAAGCCGAAAAAAGGAGATGGACAGAAAGTGCAACCTACTTCCAGCTAGAGTGTATCAATCAGGTAAAGAAGCTAATCCACTCACTAAACTGTTAGCTCAGACTTTCGAGTGAACAAGAGCAATGCTTTGAACCAATCGGAAAAGAGTGAATGTTATAATCCATCTTGACGAGCAGCTTGCTTCTGGAGAAGAAGGTATATAAGATCTCCATATTCCAGCAAGATGGAACCAAAACCACCAAACAAACTGATATGGCAAATTTTCAGCGTTTGTAGAAAACAATGTCACGGCTGCAGTTGGCCTTAATAGCTTCCTCTAAACCTTGTACACGGTCAAAGTCAACTTTGAAAGTGACCATGGTGACTCCATCTTTTCCGGTATCATAATCCTGCTTGATGTCCTCTGCTTGGAAAGACTGTAGCTGCATATCACAAAACAGAGAAATGCATTAACATAAAGTAAACATGCACCAATTATGCTCTTGATGCGTCCAGCTTTTGATTAAGAGAACGAACCTAAAAATGAAAGAAAACAGAAAAATAAAAAACTATTACAGAAGATAAATAGTGCAACAGCGACAAATATTAAGCCTTTTTCACACAAAATCAAACTTACCTGATGGTATAAAACCCCTAACAGGTCAAAAGGAACCTCCAAGCCCATCGGAACCTGAACCAAAAAGTATTGCCTAATCAATGAGTAGGTCTCGAGTTTATGCTAAAAGCGTAGAATGAAATGAGAAGAATAGGATCAGCATTAGAAGTGGAGTTCGAAACTATGCTTATACAAGATGGGCAAGGGACAAGGGGTAGAAAGCTTCTCAGCAATTAGTTTATTACTTTAGATTTTATGAGACATGTAGGAGCGTTTCTCAAACATTCTGCAGCTACTCCTCCATAAGCTCTAACTAGACCACCAGTGCCAAGCTTAATTCCTCCAAAGTACCTGCATTTTAAACAAGATAAAGATCTATGTATGCTTTCTTTTCTTGAAACATTCCCCAGTTTAGGCGCTTGAAACTTTTTTTACCTCAATAAAAGATGCACGTCTAGTTTACATCTCCTCTGACAAGAATTATAAAGTTACTAACACAGTTTACTAAATACAATCGGGTACCTGATCACAACAACCATGACTCTATCCAATCCTGAGGATGCAATTGCAGAATGTATTGGCTTGCCAGCAGTACCAGATGGTTCGCCATCATCATTACTCCGATATTGTTCTCCGACCTAAAGAGAACAAACCATAACACTTTTTGGCATGGTAAGGTAAAAGCCAAGACAGAAATTTAAAATATTTGGAGAAACCTATAACTAGAGGGGCTCTGTTTCTTATTTGTCAATCCAAGCATAAGAAGCAGTCATCATTATGGATGGAAACAGTTGTAATCCAAAATTCTACTCGTGAACTACATGTTCTCAATCAAATAAGGTATCAACTACACTTCAATCACTAAACCAGTAGCATACACTTAATCAGTGGCGGAGCTAAAGGGAGTCAAGATTCTACTGTAGCGATAATGGGGTTCAAAAATTGCCTTATGTCACAAGTTCAAATCTGAGGTGTGACACTTTAGTATTTTTTGTTTTAATTCCCTCGTATGAATTTCTGGCTCCGCCACTGCACTTACTACTTGTTTCAACAAGTGTAGCTGTTTTTTTTATGTTAAAACTATTTTTTTCATCAAATTGCAGATATTTCTATCATATATCAATAAAAACATAATTTTGGCCATAAGTACATACCTTGTACGCCCAACAATTATGAGTAGCTCGAGGGTCTTTTACCTAAAATCAAATCCAATCAAGTATTACAAAAATATAACCAAAAACCAAACTAAACACAAATCTTCAAAAACAAATTCAACATTCAAATTCCAAAAGCTAAACACATGCAAAGTTTCAATCTTTACACAAAAGGGTACCTCTGAAAGGAAAGATTGAGCAGAACGCTCGTCAGGAATGTGGCCAGCAATTGCAATAAATTTGCTCTTTTTTATTTCTTTTTCAAAAGTGACCCTTTCTTTAATTGTTGTAAATGCACCTTTATTGTTATTGGGATTTGAACTACTGCTGCTGCTGCTAGTGGTGACCATTTGTTTTCCGGTGACGGAAAATAGGATATCCGGCGAGAAAATCAGGTGGTGGTTACGGCGGCGACGGTAGAGGTGGTGGTTAAGTTTTGAACAAGGAGTGTAAAATAACCAGTTAGCAGACATCTATGGCAGCTATTTCGCGGAGATTGAGGATGTTGGCAACTAGTGTAAAATTAAAAAG